CCTTGGGCACCCACAGAGCAAGAAAGGTGAAATAAAGGCAAAAAGCAAGGTCATCATGCACATGAGGGTCCCATGGGGGCAAGGTAATCTAAACATTGGACAGGCAAACCCACTTGGGAAGGGGACCCGTGAGTGTCGAGCGAGATTCTCTGGACCCCCATATCCACAGGGGGTTGGGTTGACATGGGTAATGGGTTAGGCACAAGGATAAGGGTTAGGCACAAGGGAAGGCATTATGGGGTAGGTTTGTTGAGAGATGAAAGAGGTACAGATCTGCGGATATGAGAATGAAAGTAAATGGTAAGGGTAAAAGGTGGGTTGGTTGCCTGCTGGTGCTCCTGGAGTGTCTGGGAGGCGGCGATGGGGTTTGGGGTATTTGTGGGGTACCGTCTGGCGGACAAGGTTATGAACTGTCTCTGTCCTGGGGCCCTAGAGGGACCTGGAGGGCAGTGGTCCATGTGGCCCGGGCCGTTGCTGGCAGTGTGGAGGAATGTGGAAATGAGGGGAAAGAAAAGATTACATGCAGCAAAGAAGATGGAGAAGCAAAAGTTAAGGATAGCTTCATTTTATTAAGGGGTTTTAGACCATTGCTGCGTTAAGAGGTGTTCTCTGGACTGGTGGCTTCTGACTCATTATTGATCTTTTGCTTCTACCTTGACTAGGGAAATGAGAATCCTATGAAGCTACCTCTTGGGTGCAGTAAGGAAACCAATAATACAGGAAGAAGAAGCAATCTTTTCAAGGTGATTATTTTGTTCAATTCTTGACGTCACTTACAAAGAAGAAAGGAACAAAGAAGAGTCAACACTCTGTATTGCAATTCGGCACCCATGCTACTGTTGATATGAAGGGGAAAGCATTGAAATGCCTTGAATGTGGAAAGAGTTTCACTCGGAGGGATCATCTCCAGAATCATGAAAGGACTCACACTGGGGAGAAACCCTATAAATGCCTGGAGTGTGGAAAGAGTTTCGCTCAGAAGTATCTACTGCAGCAACATGAAGGTACTCACACTGGGGAGAAGCCCTATGAATGCCTAGAATGTGGAAAGAGCTTCACTTTTTCTTCAAGTCTACATTCTCATAAAAAAACTCACACTGGGGAGAAGCCCTATGAATGCTTGAAGTGTGGAAAGAGTTTCTCTCGGAGGGAACATCTCCAAATTCATGAAAGGACTCACACTGGGGAGAAACCCTATAAATGCATGGAGTGTGGAAAGGGTTTTACTCGGAGAGAATCTCTGAAGAAACATGAAATGATTCACACCGGGGAGAAACCCTATAAATGCCTAGAGTGTGGAAAGAGCTTCAATCAGAATGAAAATCTATGTGCACATCAAAGGATTCACAATATGGAGAAACCATATAAATGCCCAGAATGCGGCAAGAGCTTCACTCAGAATTCAGGACTACGTACGCATCAAAGGACTCACACTGGAGAGAAACCCAGCACATGCCTGGAGTGTGGGAAGAGTTTCACTCAGAGTGCAAATCTATATTTACATCAAAGAACTCACAATATGGAGAAACCTTATACGTGCCTGGAATGTGGACAGAGCTTCAATCAGCGTTCATGTCTACTTTCACATCAAATGAATCACACTGGGGAGAAACCGTATAAATGCCTGGAGTGTGGAAAAAGCTTCAATCGGAATTCAAATCTACGTTCACATGAAAGGACACATACTGGAGAGAAACCCTACAAGTGCCTTGTGTGTGGACAGAGCTTCACTGTTAATTCAAGTCTACATAAACATCGAAGGCTTCATACTGGGGAGAAACCCTATAAGTGCCTTGAGTGTGGACAGAGCTTCACACAGAATTCAAGTCTACGTTCGCATCAAAGGATTCACACTGGGGAGAAACCTTATAAATGCTTTGAGTGTGGAAAGAGCTTCACCCATATTTCAGGTCTGCGTAATCATCAAAGGACCCACACTGGGGAGAACCCGTATAAATGCCTGGAGTGTGGACAGAGCTTCACTCGGAGTTCAGGTCTACGTTCACACCAAAAGATACACTGGTGAGAAACCCTATGCCTGGAGTGTGAACTGAGCTTCTCTGAGAGTGGAAATTCAGATTCGCATCAAAGGACTCATACTGGAGAGAAACCCTACAAGAGCCTTGAGTGTGGACAGAGCTTCACTGTTAATTCAAGTCTACCTAAACATCGAAGGACTCACACTGGGGAGAAACCCTATACATGTCTAGAGTGTGGACAGAACTTCACAATTAAATCAAGTCTAGGTTCACATCAAAGAACTCACACTGGGGAGAAACCCTATAAGTGCCTGGAGTGTGGACAGAGCTTTACTCATAATTCAGGTCTACATTCACATCAAAAGACACACACTGGGGAGAAACCCTGAAAATGCCTGGAGTGTGGACTGAGCTTCACTTTGAGTTCCGTATATTCTGGCGTATAAAACTACTTTTTAACCCAAGAAAATCTTCTCAAAAGTTAGGGGTCGTCCAATACACAGGAGTTGTCTTATACACGGGAGTCGTCTTATATGCTGGAGTAGCCTTGTGCATGGGAGTTGTCTTCTATTCGTGGGTAGTTTTATACACCGGGAGTCATCTTATAGAGCGGATGCTGAAACTTCCAATCCGGATTGGAGAATCTGTGGTTGCTGCATATTGTGGGGAAGCTCAAAAATGGGAGTGGCTTTGTTCCCGCCGTATGCAGCGACTGTATGAAAGCATAAAGGGCGATGCTGTACAAGTATGGTAGAAGAATTTGAAGAAATCTTTAGAGCAGTGGTTCTCTACCTGTGGGTCCCCAGATGTTTTGGCCTTCAACTCCCAGAAATCCTAACAGCTGGTAAACTGGTTGGGATTTCTGGGCGTTGTAGTCCAAAACACCTGGGGACCCACAGGTTGAGAACCACTGCTTTAGAGGCTTAACTGATAAATTACAATATCAAGGAATTATGCCTCAGTAATAGTTAATTAGGGCCTAACAGAAAAAATAAGCATAACCTGAGGTACAAGACAAGGTTGTCTCATTTCCCCAATTCTGTTTGCAAGACTAATAGAAATTCTAACTAATGTATTTAGAGAGGAAGTTAGTATAAAAGGAAAAGGACGAAAAGAAAAAGATAAAATCAATTTATTTGCAGATGACACCCTTTTATCAGTGGAAAACCCAATAAAACAGTGGCCGGGGGGGGGGGGGGATGAAGACTACCTCACAGGATTTTGGAAAATAACAGGTCTACAAATCAATTGGAACAAGTCAGAAATGTTTTTATTTAACTATCAGGAAGAAGAGATAACAAATAAAGCAGGAGGGGAAAATAAAAATTAAAGTCAGTCAAATATTGGGAATAAATATATGTAAATAATTAGCTAATTTAGAGACAAAGAATCTGTTGCGCTGAGTCAATTTGTTGCGCAGTAGCAATGTCCAGCATGTCCAAAATAAACCCAATGCCAAAGACACAGACCAGTCAGAAGAAATAAAATAGTAGAACTTTACTCTTGGTTTGCAGAGTTGAAAAATAAAACAGCTTGGCACACTTACATAGTCACTGTAAGTAATACAGAATAAATCTTCTGTGTTTTAAATCATAGAGCATAACAAAATAAAACATGGTTACTTCACCATAACCTAAGCTTCTTGCTTCTTCTCTCCAGCAATTCAAACTTTTAACTGCCAGCCGTCTGCACAAGCCTCAGATTTATACATTTAAAAGGTGTGGCCTAGCTAGCATTCTGCAGCTGCAGTTAATCATTGATACTCTGCTAGGCTTTT